CATAAATAGTATACACACATACAATCAAACAGACACACACACGGCCAGGCATCTTCTGTTTGATAGATATAGATATATATTATGAAACGGATTAAGCTCGACAATTATTTTAATATATTTTCCGTTTATACGTTATTTTCATAGATACAATTTATTTAAGTAATTGCTCTGTTTCTTTAAATTAAACAGTATTAATTACATTTACCGGTCTGCATGTTCGAGAAATTTCATAGAAATTATGCGCTTCTCCGACAGGAATCGAACCTATAACCCTTAATTGGAACCATCATTTGATCTGATGTGCTGTTAACCATTCAGCCACAAAGAAGCGTCTTGTTAGCAAATAAAAAAAAGTTATGTCATGGTTAGCTGTCAATGCGTTAAAAAAGGATAAAAAAAGAAGTTTACTGGGCTGTGGCCCGTAGACCCCCGCATAAACGGGATCGGGTTTGTCTACCTCCCCGAACGAGACTATGCCCTTCGGCATAGCCTCGTCCGGGTTCGTCTCTGTGACTGAGCGGTCTACAGAAGGTATGTGGTTTCTCCTACAAAAATGGGGACTAAGCACTTTCCTGTATTATCTCCTCTTGAAAACGCAGGGCGATAGACGTAATAAACATTGTTTAAAATAAAATAAAAACAAAAGCGGAGCGTCTATTTCAAACACGAGTATTCACGAAAAATAACGTTTAAATAATAATTGATCATTATACAATGAAATTCACAGATTAGAATTATTCCACCAAGCTAGGCTAAGAACTTATTGATTCACCCTAGTACAATACTGTTATATTCCGTGCTAAAATATATGGAAAACAAAGTGGATAAAATAAGTATGGTTTATTATAAAAACTAGTACAATTAGAATAGTTATGCACAAGTTCGTTGCAAATCAATCCAGTAGTGAGTGTTATTATTAGATGGTCAGTAGTTCTCGCCTACGTCTGAGTCGTAATCAACAGATCCCAGCTAGTCGATATTTACCAGCCTCACCACGAGGTAGGATGTGGCACAAGGCTGAGTTTAGTGTGGGGTAATCCGATCCAATAGTCTCGGCCAAAAATTCCCTGTAGATCCCGTATAAAAGTGGGCCGGGTCAGTCTACCACCCCGAGCGAAACTCAGCCCTTCGACATAGCCTCGTCCGGGTTTCTCTCTGCTCGAAGGCAGAGGGTTCAACAGCAGCTAAGAGCTGAGTAACAGATCCAAATATTTACCAGCCTCCCCACGAAGTAGGATGTGGCACAAAGCCGAGTTTAATGTGGGAGGCTCGGCCAAAAATTCCCCGTAGACCCCATATAAAAGGGGGTCGTGTAGCTGTTTCCCGAGACGAGACTGTCCTCCGGCATAGCCTCGTTTGAGGATCCCTCTGCTCGGCGGCAGAGAGTTTGACCAGCACAACAAATGCCTGCTAGTCGATATTTACCAGCCTCCCCACGAGGGTAGATGTGGCACAAGGCCGAGTTTAGTGTGGGGCAATCCGAGCCCGTAATCTCGGCCAAAAATTCTCGCTGTTTCCTAAGACTAGACTCTGCTTCGTCTGAGGATACTCTCTGCCCGGAGTCAGAGAGTTCGACCAGCACAGTTGGAAAAGATCCCAGCTAGTTAATATTTGCACTATTTACATTATTGGGGAACTGAGAGGGCGGAATTAACAGGAGATAACTGATAACTTATATCCATTAAAGCATTGCACGTGGAACAGCCTACCCCAGTGAGCGAAATAAAGGGTTCAGTTCGACATTCCAACCACCTGAAGAAGGCCGGATAGTCCGAATAATGTAAATAGTGTACATAATACCTCATCTCAGAAATATAGACAGATAGTCAATATTTACTAGCACAACGAGGTTAGGTGTGGCACAAGGCCTAATTTAATGTGGGGTTCCAGAGCCAGTAGGCTCGGCCAAAAAATCTCCGTAAACCCCGCATAAAAAATTTCCGTAGACCACTGCATAAACGGGATCGGGTAGATCTATTTTCCCGTACGAGACTCTGCCCTTCGGCAGAGCCTCAACCGGGTTCCTCTCTGCTCAGAGAGTTCGACCAGCAAGCCGAAAAAGATTTCGGCTAGACGGTATTTACTAGCCCCCCCACCCCCACCCCAAGGGTAGATGTGGCACAAAGCCGAATTTTACGTGGGTCTTCCGAGTCCGTAGGCTCGGCCAAAAATATTCCCTTTCGAACCCCTATAAACGAATTCAGGGTCACTCTACCTCCCCGAACGAGACTCTGGTCCGGGTTCCGCTCTGCTCAGAGACAGAGAGTTCGACTGTATAGCCGAAAACGTTTTCGGTTAGTATATTTAGCCACCTTCCCTCCGAGCGTTGCAGGGTCAGTCTACCTCCCTGAACGAGACTCTGCCCTTTGGCAGAGCCTCGTCCGGGTTCCTCTCTGCCCGAAGGCAGAGAGATGGACAGTTTAGCCGAAAAAGATTTCGGATAGAATATTTAGCCACCCCCGCTCACGAGGGTTGCATGTGGCACAAGGCCAGGGTTAATGTGGGTTCTCCGAGCCCGTAAATTGCCCGTAGAACCCGCATAAACGGGATCGGTTTGGTCAACCTCCCCGAACGTGACTCTGCTCTTCGGCTGAGGCTCGTCCGGGTTCCTCTTTGCTCAGAGGCAGAGAGTTCGACCGTCTAGCTCAAGATTTTGGCTAATCAATATCTACTAGCAACACAAGGGTAGATGTGGCACAAGTCCGAGTTTTACCTGGGTCTTCCGAGCCCATAGGCTCGGCCAAAAATATTACCTTCGAACCCGCACAAACGGGTTCAAGGTCAGTCTACCTCCCCGAACTCGATTCCGCCCTTCGGCAGAGCCTCGTCTGGGTTTCTCTCTGCCCGAAGGTAGAGAATTCTACTGTATAACCGAAAAAGATTTCGGCTTGTCTCTGTAGTCCATTGACTTACAGATACTTATAGGTAGTTACTACGTATATTGTAGTCAATCATGGAGTGACAGGTTATTCCATTACATCGAATACATGCATGCGTGAATGTGTGCGAAGATGAGAAAGTTTTTATATTTGTGTGTATATGTATATATGTCGTGTCTATGTGCATACTTACAGACACCCACACACATGTATGTGTGTGTGTGTGTGTGTGCATGATCATATCTTTATGCTTGTGCTTGTGAATGACTGTGTAATCGAAGATCAATGAAAAATTTTATCTTTCAATCGAATCCCTGAGAACCATGCAACAAGATAAACAATAAAATTATTTTAATAAATAAAACGAGACGTCTGAAATTCCAAAGAAAAAATGTCTGAAAACAATGAAATGTCTTTGTGAGCAAAAATAAAAGCAAATATCAACTAAAAAAAAGGAGATGAAAAAAAAACAATCTAGATGTTGCAATGAAATCGCTGAAGGCCTAAGAATAAAGAAAAAAACAATAAAGCAACGAACAGTAAAAATAATAATTGGTAATGAATATTAAGTTTTAAAATGTAAAAAGATAAATTCTTTAAAAAAAAAAATGAATAAAAAGAAGAAAAACTGTCAACACTCAGAAATAATAACAATGGACCCAGATGTGTAAAGAAAAAGAAAATGGAAAAATGCGTAAATGTTTTGAAAATCAAGCAAAAAATTTACTAACAAAAAAAAAATATAATCCTCGCATAAAATTATCAAAGAATAAAAAGGTGAAAAAAAAACCTAAAAAGGAAAAAGTGCAAAACAAAGGAAATTAAAAAAAAATATTAAAAGAAAACAAAAAAGATCAATATATCTCATAGAATTTTTTTTATTTTTTTTAAAATAACACAAAGTAGAGTATTTTAAAAATTTAAACAAATCTATAAATCTACTAATTTTAAAAAAAATTAAATCATCGAAGGAAAAAGAAAACGCTATTAATAAAAAAAAAATGCAGCAACAGAAAAATACAGATAGCGATACCACATTGGTATGCATCTACAGACACATCTCCACACAATTGCACACATTTACAAACAGACGCGCGCGCACACACACACACAGCATTCACACGCACACGCACACACAGAGAATTCACACTGATTCTTTGGTATTCTTCAAAGGCGAAACGCCGGCGGCAAAAGGCTTTGAAATGTTGACTTTAATTAACAATCGTTGTTAATTGGCGTAATGAAAATTAAAATTTTTCTATTTGCACCAGGAGGACCAATCCCTTATGTTGACGGATTAGCAGATAGAAGGATAAGGATAATCCACTCAAAGCAACCATTTCAACACGATATGATCTCATTTGAAAAACGGAATCGAAAGCAATTGAAACAAATAAAAAAAACGAAATAAAAGGTGATGAGCGAAGGGGAGAAAGATAGGATATTGTTTGGCAAAGAGACAAAGAGAGAGAGAGACAGACAGACAGACAGACATTAACAAGAAATGCGTTGGGGAAAGAGAAAGGAAAAGAAAAGATTAAAAGAGGAAAAGAGAAAAAGTAAAAGCGAAAATAACAAGAGGGACACTGGAGGGGAGAGAGAGAGAGGAAGAGAGCGCAAAAGATTTTAAAAGAAGCGATGATAGATAGATAGATAGATAGATAGATAGATAGATAGCGATTAACAATAAAAGCAATGGGAAGAGAGAGAGAGAGAGAGTGTAAAGAGAGATTAACATGAGAAGCGTTGGAGAGGGAGAAGGAAAGATAGATTAACAGAGAAATTAAGAAGAGAGACGTTGTAGGAGAGAGAGAGAGAGAGGGGAAAAGATTTTGAAATGAGAGGAGTTGTGGGAAAGGTAGGTAGAGAGATATTAACAATAGAATCAATGGGAAGAGAGAGAGAGAGAGGAGAAAGGAAGATTAGCACGTGAAGCGTTGAAGAGAGAAGGAAAGAGGGATTAACATGTGAATCTTTGAGGGAAAGAGAAAGATAATAAGAGAAGGAGTATTGGAAAGAGAAAGGGAAAGAAAAAAAAAGAAAAATTAACAGGAGAGACGTTGGAGGAGATATATATATATATATATATATATAGAGAGAGAGAGAGAGAGAGAGAGAGAGCTAATGATTTTGAAAGGAGAGACGTTGGGAGAGATATAGATAGCGAGGGTTAACAATAGAAGCAATGGTAAGAGAGAGTGAGAGAGGAAATAAAGAATAACACGAGAAGCGTTGAAGAGAGAGAGAGAGAGAAAGAGAGAGAGAGAAAGAGAGAGAGAGAGAGAGAGAGATGGAAAGAGAGATTAATAGAGGAAGCTTTGGAGAAAGAGAAAGAGGAAGATAATAACAGGAGGAACCTTGAAAAGAGAAAGTGAAAAAGAAATTAGCAATAGAGACGTTGTGGGGGAGAGTGAGAGAGAGAGAGAGAGTGAGAGAGTGAGAGAGAGAGAGAGGGGGGGCAAAAGACTTTGAAAAGCGAGGCGTTGGGGAAGATATAGATAGAAGGATATTGGCAACAGAACCAGTAGGAAGAAAGAGAGAGAGAGAGAAGAGAAAAGAAAAGTAACATAAGAAACGTTGGAGAAAGAGAGAGGGAATGATAGAGGGATTAACGGAGAGAAAGCGTTGGGGGAAAGAGAAAGATGATAAGAAAAAGAGCCTTGGAAAGAGAAGGAAAAGAAAAATTAACACGAGAGAAGTTGGAGGAAAGGAGATAGAGAGTGGAAAAGATTTTGAAAGTAGAGGCGTTGAGGAGAGATAGATAAAGAGAGATTAACAATAGAGTAAAAGAGAGAGTGGAAAGGTAGATTAACATGAGGCTCATTGGCGAGAGAGAGAAGGAAAGAGGAACTAACACAAGAGGCATGAGAGAGAGAGAGAGAGGGAGAGAGGGGGTGGAAAGAGAGATTAGAAGAGAGGAGAGTGTGGGTTTTCGTTGAGAAGCGAAGGAAATGACTGAGGAAATAAGCAGAAAACAGAAGAAAGAGAATGATGTCATCTGATTATAAAAAAAAGGCGATAAATAATGTACTAGTGCACACACAGAGGTAAATCAATAAATCTGTAGCCTAATTGAGAGGTAAAACTAATTAGATTGAATTTTTGACAGTGCTAGGCTATGGATCAACTCTGGTGTATTCTACGTTGACACTTGTATGCTTACATATGCTTATGTATGTATGTATGTATGTGTGTGTGTGGTGTGCAAGCTTATGTGCTTGTATATACACACACACACACACACACACACACACACACACACACACACATATATATATATATATATATATATATATATATATATATATATATATATATATATGTAACAAGATGTCTATGTTTTTCAACTGATCTCGCTCAAACTTGATACACTGATAGTTTGTTTCAAAAGTAGTCAAGGATAACTTTCTTTTTCCGGACCCCACCCCCTCCGCGTATAACGAAAAAACCGCGTAAAATTCGTTATTTTTTTCTGCCATTGACTTTCTCAGTTTCCAACCGATTCGCTCCAAATTTTGCACGAACATTACTTATGCTTCAAGGAATGTTTCGAACGAATTTCGTATCAAGATAATTCGCTTTAAATTTGCGATTTATTTGCTTAAAATGATTAAACTTTTACTATTTGATTAAACTGATTAAACTTCTGCTATTTAATTAAACTGATTAAACTTTACTCCGCCCATAGTGTGCTAAGACGGGGTGATCTGCGAGCATGACCTTTGACATGTAGGCGTGAACACTATTAATGCGCCCCCTTAGAGTACTATTTGGTGTAAACTACTGCTTTAACCAGGTCCTTAGTGTTTACTCCCTTCCCCCTTCCCTTATTACCGTCCATGATCATAATGCCTCCCTTTTCATTACCATATTCCTTAATACCGCATTGTCTGATAATAAGGGGATGACTGCAAACACAATCTTTGACCGGTGAGTATAAACACTAATAATGCCCCCTTTCAGTGTGAACGTCTGCTTATACCACGCCTTAATGTTTATTCACTTACCCCTCTATGCCCTGACAATAAGAAGCGAACATAATCTTTGACCTTTTCGCGAGAACACTACTAATTATCCAATCAATTCTTTGACAGAATTTCATTGGTTCAAACCCTCAAGTACCATTATGCAACACTTGGAAAGACAACAGATGGGCACGAAGAAAGGTAGGAGAAACTTTTGATGGACATCCAGGCATCAAGTTTGACCATTGCCTTGGTAGAGTTTATACAGTCCACCCCAGGAGTGCTTCTACCTTCGGTTTCTATTACATGAGATAAGAGGTTCAAAGTGTTTCGATGACTTAAAAATGTTTAATGGGCACTTTTGCAGCATGTACCGTGAGGCCTGCTTTGAACATTCGGACATGGAAGATGATGCTCAGTGGGATACAACTCTCGCGGAGGCAGCTGCAATGCGAACAGCAAGAACTTTCCGACATTTTTTTCCCCGTATTATTGCACACGTGTCAGTTCAGTGATCCTGTGTCTTTATGGGATAAATACAAAGGAGACCTTTGACTTCAAATACCATGGGCAATTAATGCTTCGTGGCTTTGACGCAGGATTCAGTGACGAATTTATAAACAGAGGGCTTATTGACATCGAAGATAGGATTGTTGCTATGGGAAGAAATTAATTGCAAACTTACGGCCTGCCCCATGTTCGCGAACAAGTCCAAATATTCTTCCAACAGGCATAATTCAGGAAACTTCCTACGACATCGACGCTCTTGAACAATATGTAAGCGAAAACGAACCAAACTTAAGGGTCATCAGTTGGTTTGCAATACCATTCTTGAGTCCGTTCGTCTTCGGAATGACGGTTTGTTCTTCTTGGATGCACCTGAAAGATCAGGTAAAACATTCGCTACGAAACCCTTCTTCACAAAAGGACATCAAAGCGATCGCCTTGGCTGTGGCACCCTCTGGAGTTGCTGCAACCTTTCTGCCTGGAGGTAGAACAGAACACTCCGCCTTTAAACTGCCAATTAATTTGATTTCGTTTGCGACTTGCAATATCAGCAAGAGTTCGGATAATGCTGACGCCCTGAAAAGGTGAGCTCATTGTTTGGGATGAGTGTACGATGACCCATAAAGGCGCTCTCAGTGCCCAGGAAAGGACTTCGCGAAACATAAGGTATTGTCAACATCCAATGAAAAGAGTACCTGTCCTTCTATCAGATGATTTTAGGCAAAATCTCCCGGTTGCTTCCAAAGGTACCAGGACGGACGCTGTGAAAGCATACATTAAGTGATCACCTCATAAAAAATTTTGTCTCTTAAAGCCAACAGGAAAGCTGAACTGTTCGGGGACCAAATGTCAGCGCAGTTTTCAAAGGACCATCTAGAAGTTGGTGACGGCAATGTGCCATCGGATGAAGCTGGAGAGATCTCAATTTACACAAATATGCTCCGTCGTAAATACTTTTTACGACCTCAAAGCTGATATCTTTCCAGATTTGGCTAAAAATTTTGGAAAACCCAGTTAGTTTTGCGAGAAGGCAATATTGGCTCCTAAAACCACCAGTATTGCCAAAATCAATGAAGAACTGGTAAAATGCCTACCAGGAAGTCTTCAAACCTACAAGTCAATTGACACTGTTGCCGATCCACAAGAGGTAGTTCACTATCCAGTAGAGTTTCCAAACTCTTTGAACCCCCTCCGAACTACTACCCCATATATTAAGCCTTAACCTCAGAGCCCCAGTAATTTCGATGAGAAACATGAAACCGCTAAGGCTCTGCAATGGAACCCGCCTTGTGTTGAAGAAACTGCTACCACATGTTATTGAGTCCACTATTTTCACAGGATGTGGTATGAGAGAGGATGTATTTATACCCAGGATATCTCTCACTCCATCAGATGCGGAAATCCCCTTTGCTCTACGCAGACTTCAATTTTCAGTAAGACATTGCATCGCGATGTCAATCAACAAGTCTCAAGGACAAACGTTATCCACAGCAGTTCTATATTTAGGTGAGCTATGCTTCTTACGTGGTCTGTTATATGCTGGTTCTTCGAGAGTGCGAAGCAAAACAAATTTACTCGCTTTTACTTCAAACGAAAAAACTAAACATTTTGTCCAGAGAGAGATGTTGTAGGCTCTTCACATGTCCGCCCGTAGTCACAAATTCTTTAACACTTTAAGTCCTTCCGGTTTACTCCTGTTTTTACGCATGATTTAGGTGAGTGATGCTCTTAACGTATTTTTCCTTTTGTTTAACTCTTACTGACTGCGTGTATTTCTCTTTTGTCAACATTAGATTCCGCGTCTATTTCAATAAAAGCCGTTGCCATGTCTCCAGTGTACTAGCGTCTCTTGCTGTGCATAAACGAAAATAAAGGTCTTTTTAGGCCTACTACTTCTGCACTGTAACAGTCTAAGGGAGCGTATTCCAGCCCTTTTTTTTTAGGACTATCACTATTTTATCGTTACACTCTCACGGAACGTATTCCAGCGCTTTTTAGGGCTACCACAGTTTGATCATTAAAATCTCAGAAAACGATGTCAAGCCCTTTTTAGAACTACCACTATTCAATTTTTAAACTCTTAGTGTATAGCCCTTTTCAAGGTTTCTCATTAAACTGCCATTTCTTACAAGCATCGCTATCGTTAAGACACCGAGCTAGTATATATATATATATATATATATATATATATATATATATATATAGGACGGATGTAGTTTAGTTTATCGCAATACCTAGGTCTCTGTTTAATTGTAATGTTCTTAAAAACAGAAGCAGAAGAACTAGAAGTAGACAAGAATATATATATATATATATATATATATATATATATATATATATATATATATATATATACATACACTTAGAACACATGTTAAAAGGCACAAACTCTGAGGAAATTATGTATAGCATTAGGTTGTTAAACATTTAACAAAAATAGAGATATAATAGAAAACATCTTAGTAATATGCTTACAACCTAAAGTGTAGCGTCTTGAGTAAGACGATAAACTACACCCGCTTGTTGGATAAGACGATAAACTACATCCAACAGCAAGGACCCTAGTGGAGGTTTTGATGAGCGTGGAACTACCTTTTAAGCACACACACACACACACACACACACACACACACACACACACACACATATATATATATATATAAATATATAAAAGGAAGAACAGTAAGTTATATAATCCGGGGTTCTTACTGATATTTTTTATTTTTATTTTTACAAAAACAGTGCTCAATGTAAGTTTACAGAGCCTAAATATTATAAATTTTTTTCGTTACACAGTAATAAGCATGTTTCAAAAATGGAAGCTAAAAACTTCAAATTTAATTTTATAATTAAATCAAAAGCATTAGTTCCATTTCATCTTTAAGCGAATATTGGGAATAACTTATTTTTTGGAGGGTGGGAGGATAAATGTATTCCCAATATTCGCTTGAAGATGAAATGGAACTAATGCTTTTGATTTAATTATAAAATTATATTTGAAGTTTTAGCTTCCATTTTTGGAACATGCTTATTACTACGTAGCGAAAAAAAATATTTTATATCACTTATTTATAATATATATTATATATATATATATATATATATATATATATATATATATATATATATATGGGGAAAATGTATGGCAAAGTAGAAGTTTTCATGTGACACATTTCGTCCTTTAGGACTTCATTGGATTAAATTTGTTACGTTGTTGTGAATACACATAATCACGAACCAGGGACGCTGGGAATTTTAAAATTTAATTAATTTTTTTAAAAAATATAATCTAGCCGTTTTCATTTAGATTTTTTTAAATGGGCTGTATCATAAAAAAGAAAGAAATAATTAAAAAATTAAGACATAATAACATTTTAAATTCCCAGCATCCCTCGCTTGTGCGCATGCGCAGTCGCACCAAGATAACAAATGTAGGTCAAATGAAGGTCAAAACGCATCACCCGAAAACTTTTTTTCAACTTTGTCATACATTATTTTCACAATATTGTTCTTGATATATTCAAAT